TCTGTTGCGTTTGCGTTTCTGTGCTTGCAGCTCAAAGTGTAGAACCTCAGGATAGCGGTGCACTGGGTGGTCCAAGAGCTTTGGAGTCTGAGGCTCATACTGGGCAAGACGATTTGGCGACAGAAAGTTCTAAACATTGCGCTGATGATCAAACGGAAAGTGATTCTTGCAAAAACCAAACCGCAGGAGATTCGGTTCCAAAAGGTGATGAAAGGAAAAACTTAAACACCGGAGATAATACAGTTCGACAAACAACGTCCTCAGTGTGACCTAGTCAATCCACTACTTCTGATCCTCCTGATACCATGGCAGAAAAGCAGAGAGAAGAAGCTCAAGGGACGGCTGAAGGTAAAGTGAAAGACGGGTCGACTGGGAAGGAAGGGGAACCTAAAGAAAATGAGAGACTAGCATCAGTCAGTAAAGACTTATCCCATTCTGCAAGCGATGCGAAGGCAAGTGGACCTGAAAGCAAACAGACTCTTAACGTGGAAAATGGTAGTCAAGGTGAAGCCGGTCCAGCCGGCAATAATGGACAACCTCAAGAAGATCGTATCACATCATCTTTATCCTCTTCTACGTCACCCAATACACATTCCGCAGATACATCCTCTGACAGCAACAGAACTGAACCTTCTCCCAGTACTTCAGCCACACCAACTAATGGAGGATCAATAACCACAACGACCGGGAATGAACCTCCAGCGGCAGGGAGTGAGACTACAGGTAACACCGAGGATGGAGAAATTGCAGAACCAACAACGAATACCTCAGTGAACACGAACCGTGACACTACCAATACACTCACTGAGGAGGAATCAACCACCACTACTACAACAACATCAACACTTCCTCCTGGACTCACAAACAACAAGAAGGGTGATGCAGACAGCAGCAGCAGTATCAGCAGTTCTGTGTGGGTGCGTGTGCCACTACTGATTGTGGTTACACTGTCCTGTATTCTTGTGTGCTGATTGTGTGGTGATTGTGTGGTGTGACTAAGGTCATCCTTTCTTTTTTCTTTTTTTTCTTGCATGCATCTCTACAGTCTAACTAATCTTTCACCTGTTGGGATTTCTCTTCTTTTTTGTTTCTTAATGTTAATGTGTGTTTTTTGTGTTTTTTTGCTATCTATGTTTATCCTATAATAATTATTATTGCTACTCCATTGTGTGTGTGTGTATGTTCTTGGAGACTCTCTGTGTGTGCACCTGGGCTTGCACTGTGATGATGATGGTAATGAACTGCTTTTTTGCAGTGAAATGTAAAAAAGAAATAATAATAACAGATGAATTTATATTTATAATTGCCAGTATATACACACATATAGACTTACACCCATAGTTGGTGTATATTTCTTGTGTTTACTGGGTAAGTTGGACTAAGGGTTAATATCTGTTTCTTTGCTTATGATTTGCTGGGGCATTCTATGCTGTATTGCGGGAGTCTTTGATGATATGGATGTACTTTTGTTTCTAAGTTTACTGATTTAATTCTCTTTATTGCTTTGTTTCTGATTTTTTTTCTACACTGTTGAGCTT